TTGTTTGCAGCAAGATGAGAATCTTCCAAAACAAAGACGGTTTGGGCGTCATGTTTCACAATTGTTAGAAATGATGTTCATGTTAGAGCTCCTGGGGCTTTTATAGGACGAGCTGCAATTGTTACATAATTCCCAAAGTCAGTAATAGATATTTGTCACGCAAATGATTTTAATTTACAAGGAACTTCAAAATTCCAAATGGACATAATGTTATCGTCTACCCTATCAAATATGGTTAAGCGTGCTAGTAACAGTTTTCAGTTATCATCTACCTTAAAACAGATACTTGATACTATGGCTCAGATAAGAAACTTAATCTATACAAGAACGGAAGCATATGCAGGAAACCGAAGTTCATATCCAATTATTCTACACCCAAAATTACCGCTCGATTTGCGTGCTGCGACAAGCAAAAAAACTAATACGAAATGGCATTTAATCTGACAAAAACAACTAAGGTATTGTGAATGAGGTCTGGGATTTGATTTACTTAGCTAAGAACTCGACCATTTACGATATACAAAATAAATTGAGTAACATGAAGTGTGACTCGAGTTATCTTTATTTTGCTGCACTCGAACTCCACTCAATAGTTTGTCCTTTTCTTTTCTTTCTCATTTCCTTTTTTTTAGAGGTTAATTGAAAGTCGTGATTCTTCCGCCCTTTTAAAGCAAGGGTATTATAATTTCAGTCAGAAGTTTGCAACGCAGTGAAGGAGACATTTTCGACCCTATAAAGTATATATATTCTTGATCAGTATCACTAGAAAAGTCGATCTAGCCATGTCCGTCTGTCCGTCCGTTTCTACGCAAACTGGTCTTTCAGTTTTAAAGCTATCTGCATTATAGTTGTTGTCTTTCTAAGTTGTGTTTCTATTGCAGGTAGTATTAGAGGTCGGAACGAGCCGGATCAAACGACTATAGCACATAGGTCCCATAGGGACAATCGGAAAAATATATGAAAAATAATGACTTATGACCTTGCTGTTTTTTTAATTTTTTGTTAGTTCTTCAACTTATAGTAATGGTTAAATAATTCAGAGTTACAGTTTAAATGGGACGACTTCTGGCTTCAAAGTGCTGCAAAAATCGTAGAAATGTATTAATCGTCTTAATTATTTTTTTCTAACATTCTTTATTAATATATAAAAGGTCCACTTTTGCACGTTTTGGTTTTGGTTATATAAAATATTTCATTAATAATTTAATATAATTAAAATGGGCTCCACAACAAAGTAATTGGGAGGAGCTTACAAGCCTCACGACCGAAATCAATCTTCTATACTTTTACTTTCAACATACTAACAGTGGTCAAGTCCAAACTTAACATAAAATAATTCTTAGCCAGTTCCTAAACCACCCGTCCGTGTAAAATGTATAATTCATACATTTATAATAAGCGACCGATAGATGGCGTTGTATGAAAACAAATGTGGCGGCCCAAGTTAAAATACCATCTAGCGGAAAAGCTGTTAACTAAGAACTTAGCTACGATATTTATTGTTATCTTTTTGATCGATATGTTCTAAGAAACACATCTCTGTCTCTCTCTTCTTCCGGCTCTCGGCTAAGCTGCACGCACGCTTTGTAACTCCTCATTGTAAACCCAAACATACATCAATAAAATAATAGTAACACCAATACGTGTTACCATACAAATGAACTAAAAAAAGATGCAATGTAAAAATATTTATAAATATTTGTTTTTATTTATTTATTGATTTATAGTTAACAATGAACTGCTAACTTACACCTACATGGCTATATGCTAAAATAAGTATAATTTAAATAACTAAATATTACACGATTCGAGAAAAGCATATGTTTGCATGTTTGATGATAACCGATCAATAGAATTTTCCAAAGATATTACAGGATATACTGCATTATAATTTGAACAAAGCAACCGAGAGGTCTTATGATGGGCAAAGTTGGATCTACAAACTGGAGGTAGCATCGATGTCAATATAGCTAAGGAGGTGGCTTATGGAAATAAATTTCTCCGCTGCACATTCTACGATGTTTTAAAGACTTTAAATCAAACTCCTTGGCCCAACATTTTATGAAGGCTAAAACCCCCTTAGCTTTACCAATGATGACAGAAATATGGCTTTTAAAACATAACTTGCTATCAAATAGGACACCTAGTTTAGTTACTTGCGTAATACGTTCTAAAGTAGAGTTTTTAAGATGGTAAGAGTGTATGTGGGCTGAAGTCCGGTAAAAGGTCATATATTTGCATTTAGCGTGGCTAAGAAGCAACTAATTGTTGGAACACCATAATTGTATGTGATCAATGTCAGACTGTAGGCGATGGTTTGACATTTGGTCAGAGAATGATAGGCACTTCTTTTGGAAGATCATTTATAAAAAGAACAAAGAGTAGTGGCCCCAGATGATTTCCTTGAGGGACACCAGAAAAAACTTTATGTTCGGACAAAGTTGATATTGAAAATAACGCGTTGAATTTTGTTTAAAAGATAGGCCGAAATCCAGTTCAGTAAATTAGGTGGAAAACCAAGAACCATTATACAACCTCGTATTTTTGAGGTAAGACAAGTGCCTATTGAACCATGGGGGCTTAGATGTGTCACTTACCGAAAACGAAAAACATTGATCGACGTCTGCAATGTCAAATTAAAGGATGACATTGCATAATTTTAGGGAGGACCCATCAATAGCTGGTGTAAACCAACAAAATTGGCATTGCGGAAACATTTTACACGTAAGGCTGCCTTAGTCTGAATTTCTGCAACAATCTCAACAAGTATTCATTCATGGTAGAGGTGTTCAAGCAGAGAAAAGGAAGGGCTTCTGAGGATATTTGCGAGAGTGTCGTTATTAACAAAAATTAAGTCAAGAAGTCTATCCACATGGTTCTCAACATAGTTTATCTGACCCATAGACAAGTACATCAGGCCGTTGATAAAGTTGCGCTGGCTTTCGGCAAAAAGGAGATTGGAGTCCATTGAAGAAATCTGAGACACGTTAGATATGTTGAAATCGCCCATTATAATAAGGGCGATTTTTGCCTCATCGGCAATAGAAAAAATAGAGGGAAGTATCAGATTAGGTGAAATGTAAGAGCAAATATATAAATATTAATGTTATTGATGTTTATTTTAACTGCAACGATTTCAATGGAATGTGTGTTTTCAAAAGGACAAATCTCTGATGAAAGTTAGTTGTGAACTGCAATTAATACGCCATCAGGGAGATGCGGTCAGTCCTATAGGTAACAAACTTAACAACGAATATTTCTTTATCGGAAACCGAAGAGTTTAGCCATGTTTTAGTTAAAACAATGACGTCGGCTTCGGCCGAAAGACTATTAACATACACCTTACTCAGTTTACCCAGTACGTTACATTTTGGTATAAAATTGACAAATTTGTTTTTCTTAGTTTTTTGAAGCAGCTTATTTTGAGTCGCGAGACTGGTCTTTCGAAAGATACTCATGTACTAACGTATTAATAGGAATCAGTGATACGAATTCTAAAAGAAGAGATACTTTGCCTAAAAATTATCTTATGTATGAAGGGGCAAGTAAGTAAGGGAGTAAGTCTCGTCACGAATATAGATTTTTATTTAGCCCTCTCAGAGGAATCCCAAAGACTATTCCTTGGGCGGATACTTCTCGGAACACCACTTAAAGGGATATTAGTGCGTCCAGGAGCCGCAAGGCTTGGGTCAGTCATATCGTTGGCTAAGGAAACAGCACCAGATGTAGAAGCAGATTTAGGAGCCAACTGCAATCCAAGAGAGGCCAGGCTTTCTTCCGGTAGAACATTACCAAGTTGTGCCGCAGCCAATGAAGCATGAGAGGGAACAGCAGACGGTCCAGAAGGGGTAGTGTGAGCCGGGGAAGAGACGGTATTAATTAGTTCTGTCCATATTATTAGCGCTAGTTGGCGTCGAGATGGATGGTAAATCATAAGCAGGAAGTTGCAGATTGGTGTTTGGGACTTTTCTTTTCGGTGACTCGCTAATGATCTTAAGTCCAAGAAACTGAGATTCCATTGCCATGAAATTGTCATTCATAGCGTTGATCATCCGTCATCTAGCGGCATGATGAGCTGGACCAGGTAAAACCAACTTGTTTGGAATCCCCACCCCGGCCGTTGAAGCCAGCGTAAGCGAGAAAACATGGGCAGCAGCGAAGCTAAGTGCGATCAGCTATAAGGGCTTAGCAGCAACAGGGCAGATACCGTATACAAACATGTACATATCCAAGCAAAGGTAGGAGTTATTAACAATGGAAATGACGTAGCCGTCGATGTTCCGCCAGTGGCTTTGTGACATTTTCCTGCTTGCCCTCCAATTTGGCGAGTAAGTTCTGTAGTGATCTGAAGACGTCCCTGACTGACGTTGATAGCGGTGAAGTTGAGCCTCGTCTGGCACACACATGTTCCTTCGTTACCTGTTATATCATAGGCATTCATTTGAGCGTTAGTTGAGTGTGCTGGGTACGTTCCAATTCCTCGATTGTAATGCGCACTAGCGCGCTTCTGGTTGTGTGCGCTTGCAGAGCTTTGATTGCCACCTGACTTTGTCTGCATGCCGTGTGTCGGAGCTTTATCCCATTGTAAAGTCCACATGTATGCTGACAATGTGCAAGTATACGTTAGTAGTTCTCATTGTCGAATTAATGACTGTGTCGGTGCTTGTAACACTGACCATCAAAGCATTAGTCATTGGGAAAGTGCTTATGGTCTAGCCTTAAACCCAAAAAAGTCTAAATGCATGATGATTTATGTCGACAACGCAACTAATCTGGGCCTCAAATTCAACAATACCCTAACCTGGAACGGCCACATAAACAGAGCAGCAGGGTGATGTGAGTTTCACTTTAATTTTTATTTTTAAGTATGGAATTTAAATTAAACAGAAATTGAAATCTATAATTTTCCAATTGGAAATCCAATTAAATATGCGTACACAGTTTTGCAAAGCGCCAACTTACCTACCAGAAGCGATTGGGAAAAAAAAATTATATTTATTGGCAGATATAATAACGACAAGTTTATTGCTTTTATGGTATAGGATGCATATCCTTTGAATTATATAAAAATTACGAAATTATGGGAATCACATAATGATTACATAACGTAGGCCAAAAAACCCTGGATTGTTTTTGAAATGTCACCTCTTAGCTCGGTCTCTTCTGAAATTTTAACCAGCTTGGAGGACATCTTCTTGTAGTCATCGGCATATATAAAGAGCGTCTCTTGCAGTCTACCAAGAACCCAGTTGAACCAGTAGCGCTCCTCAGATTTTTCCTGTTCCACAGGAGCAGATCTCAGAGCCTTTACGAAGCGATGCACGATGTCTAAAAGGATGCCTGTAACCACATAATCAGTCCCACTTGGACTGTCTACTTCCACAACTGCATTCCGCCTCTGGAGGTTCTTGACCCAGCGAACAGTGGAGTGGAGCAGCTCCCAGATGTACATCTTGCTCAATTCCTTTCGCATCAGGGGGCCAAAAATCCATGACACGATGCATCTGGACTCAAGTACTTCCATCCGGAGAAGCTTTTCGGCAACCACAAACCGAAAGTGTTCGCTGTCCACCCATACCTCAAAGATTCCTTTCAAGATCGCATGCTGCCGTTCCGAATCGCCAGCAGACAAATTCTAAATCGTGAGGGAATAGGATTCGGATTAGGATTGCTTTAGTTTATTTAATTCTATTTTGTATCGAAGGAGAGAGTACACTCAAAAAACAAAACATCTGAATTAAGATATCGATGTTCTACGTCAAAAGCAGATCTCACTAAATTTTAGTAAAACAAGAAAGGAAGCAAACTTCGGAAAGCCGAAGTTCATATACCCTGCAGCTAATGCAAAAATTAAATACTCTTGAAAACATTAAACTATTTCATAATTACGGTTTAAATTTCTCAAAATCATATAGCTCCCATAGAAATAATAAAAATATATAAAATAACTATCTAATAATTGAGCTGCAAGTCATCATAGCTTCAATGTTTTTAAACAAATACGCAAGTAAATCATAATTTTAATGTTTTAAAAAACATTTAATTTTTGCAATAGCTGCAAGGGTATATGAACTTCGGTTTGCCGAAGTTTGCTTCCTTTCTTGCTTTTAATATTTATTTATTGTTTTGTGTTATAGTTGTCCGATTTTGATGAAATTGTAACCGTAACTCTAAAAAATTAACTAAACAAAAAATAAAAAACAGCAAAGTTATAATTTTTTTCATTTATTTTTCCGGTTGTTCTTATGGGAGCTATATGCTATAGTCGTCCGATCCGGCTCGTTCCGACTTATATACTTACTGCAATATAAAGTTGAGAAAGTTGCATGCAGATAGCTTTAAAACTGAGAGACTAGTTATATATAACGAACGGATAGGCGGACATGGCCTTTTTCGGCCTTCCAACTGTTTAATTAATTTGAAATTGAAGCAGTTTTGGAAGTCTAGTGCAGCCCAAAAGTATGCTGCATCCCTCATATCTTTATATACGAGAACTGAAAGTACTACATAGTTCATATAACAATGCATACCCCGTAGGACGCCGTATAAAGTAATCTTGAAATATTTTTTTTTCCAGGAGTTCAAGTATAGATAATGCAACCTTGGGCCTGCAGGAGTACGTGTAAAGTGGACTAAAGAATGGAACATAGGCATCAACTGCAGCAAATGTGCTTGTGCTTGTCCACAAGGCCAAAAAACTGCTCAGGCATTTCCATGCTCGGCTCTGTACTTCGACACGAGTCCTACTACAAGTACCTTGGTGGGATTTTGAATAGAGGACTCACTTTCCATAGGCACACAACCATGGTCAAGCAGTTCTATCTCCAAGAAATAAGCTCTTACTGTCCAACAAAGTTCGCATCTATAAAGCAATTTTTAGTCCAATCTGGAAATATGCAATACAAATCTACGGCACAGCGTCTAAGTCGAAAGTAACAAAGTAAGATTATCAGATTGATTTGTAATGCCCCCTGGGTCATGAGAACTAGTGATATAGAAAGAGATCTCCAAATCGCAAAGATAGGCGATGTATGTCGTACGCACGCCCAAAAACTACCTCCGACGTCTTGGATCTCATCCTAACTCCCTGGCGAAGAGGCTAATATGGAGACCTACGAAAATAAGACTTAAAAGATACCACCCACATGACCTTCCATTAAGATATATTTAATACATTTGAAGTCTGAAGAAATTAAGATGTAAATGAAGTAAAATTAATGTATAATCTTATATGCCAAAATTTTGTTATCCCCTATATTTACAACCTGCCCAAGCTGCTACATAGGTAGCAGTATACCTGTTAATTTTGAATAAATATACATTAAAAAAAAATATATATATTTTAATATTAAGACATGTTTAAAAAACTAATATACAACACAAAAAAATAATATTAATTGTTATTAGGGTCGATTATTTTATTAATATTGGTGTCGCGGGCACCAAAAAATCTAAAGAAATATTTTGTTCTCAATTTGAATATTTTTTTTTTTGAATGTTACTTTTCTAATTTGAAATTTTTTTATACCCTTGCAGAGGGTATTATAATTTCAGTCAGAAGTTTGCAACGCAGTGAAGGAGACATCTCCGACCCTATAAAGTATATATATTCTTGATCAGCATCACTAGGCGAGTCGATCTAGCCATGTCCGTCTGTCCGTCTGTCCGTCTGTCCGTCCGTTTATATGCAAACTAGTCTCTCAGTTTTAAAGCTATCTGCATGAAACTTTCCCAAAAGTTGTCTTTCTATTGCAGGTAGTATATAAGTCGGAACGAGCCGGATCGGACGACTATAGCATATAGCTCCCATAGGAACAATCGGAAAAATAAATGAAAAAAAATTATAACTTTGCTGTTTTTTAATTTTTTTGTTTAGTTCTTCGACATATAGCAATGGTTAAATATTTCAGAATTATGGTTTAAATTTCATCAAAATCGGACGACTATAGCATATAGCTCCCATAGGAACAATCGGAAAAATAATTGAAAAAAAATTATAACTTTGCTGTTTTTTAATTTTTTGTTTTGTTCTTCGACATAAAGCAATGGTTAAATATTTCAGAATTATGGTAAAAATTTCATCAAAATCGGACGACTATAGCATATAGCTCCCATAGGAACAATCGGAAAAATAAATGAAAAAAAATTATAACTTTTCTGTTTTTTAATTTTTTGTTTAGTTCTTTGACATTTAGTAATGGTTAAATATTTTCGATTTACGGTTTAAATTTCATCAAAGTCGGACGACTATATCATATAGCTCCCATAGGAACAATAAAAATATATAAAATAACTATCAAATAATTGAGCTGCAAATCATCATAGCTTCAATGTTTTTAAACTTATACGCAAGTAAATTATAATTTTAATGTTTTCAAAAATGTTTAATTCTTGCAATAGCTGCAAGGGTATATGAACTTCGGCTTGCCGAAGTTTGCTTTCTTTCTTGTTTTTTAATCCTTTTATAATTTAACAGTTCAAAATTACGCTTTAAATTTTATTGAAATCGGACAACGATATCATATAGCTGTCATAGGAAATATCGAATAATTAAGTTGAAAATTAACATATCTTCAATGTTTTTCAACATATACGCAAGTAAATGATAATTTTAACGTTTTCAAGAATATCAATTTTTGCAATAGCTGCAAGGGTATATAAACTTTGGTAAGTTCAACCCCAAAAATGATCAGTTAGGATTGGTTACTTTTACTGTAAAATTCCTTTGTGCATGGGAGAAGCTTGAAAGGTAACTACTCACCTATAACATAATAACCTATAATAAATAATAATAATATAAAATTTAACTCACCTTGAAGACCGAGTGGTACTTGGCAAGAATTGCGAAAGTGTGACTGAATGATTTGGATCCCAGGTAGATGCAGTTCTGGGTGAACACGTTGATCTTGAGCAGAAGCCCAACATCACTGGGGCCACTTAGCAGGCTGATTATCTTTTCTGGGCAAGATTGTTTGCTGCGCATCGCTTCAAGGAGGTTCCTAGACAACATCGCACCCGGCAGCAGCTCGTCGGTGAACTTCAAGTGCGGAAGTGGAGCCGGCGGAAGAACTCCGGCCGGGATGTCCGGTTGAATCTCTACTATTCTCTGGTGATACGATAATCTGGATTTTGTTTTGGTGGTGCAAAGCGGAGTTAGCTTATATTTAAGGCAAAAAAGGCAGTGTCCTTGCATCTCGTCCGAAACTCAAACCGTAATTCTGAAATATTTAACGATTACTATCGGCCATGTTTCAGTTTTCACACCCGAAAGACTTGTACGGATTCGAATTTCCTAGACCTGTTCCAGTTTTCTCTTCCGAAAGCTTCACACGGATTCTAAATTCCCTTTGTTATTTTTATGTTCACTTGCAAAAAAAACTCACAGAAACTTTCCGCCAAGCATTTGGAAGACGAATTCGGATCCGCAAGCTCAGAAATTAGTTGTTCTAAAATACTTTGCGATTACTTAGAGCGCGAATGAAATTCTTGCTTAAAAAATTTAGTTTATAATAACATATTTGATGTATTTTATTATTGTGCCTCAGAATTGATACGATCCAAGCCTTAAGCATTTTTGCAAGTCCGCGGTTCCTTTTATAGTTTCTCAACGAAATTAAAAGGAGGCTGCAAGGGCTGTCATGGTACGAAAAAAAAGTATATTCTGGGAATTTTGGTTGAAACTAATTTGTTCTACGTCTTTTTGAAAAACCAGCTGGTTTGGCGGGATATAAGACTCTAAAAGCTGAAGCTAGTAAGGCTACATACCAGTGCATCTTGTATATATTCTTGATCAGCATCACTAGGTCAGTCGATCTAGCCATGTCCGTCTGTCCGTCCGTCCTACAACCGTTTCTACGCAAACTTGTCCCTCAGTTTTAATGCAATCTGCATGAAACTTTCCCAAAAGTTGTCTTTCTATTGCAGGTAGTACATAAGTCGGAACGAGTCGGATCGGACTACAGCATATAGCTCCCATAGGAACAATCGTAATACAAATGAAAAAAATTACTTTGCCGTTTTTTTATTTGTTTTTAGTTCTTCGATATGTTTAAATATTGTATTTCAGAATTACGGTTTAAATTTCATCAAAATCGGACGACTATAGCATAAAACTCCTATATAACTTCGCGGTTTTTCTTATATACTTTGTTACTTAGTAATGGCTTAGTATTTCAGAGCTACGGTTTATTTTTATTAATATCGAACAACGATGAAACGACGATAGACATAAAAGATATAGGCATAAAATCGGAATAGTTATAATGAATATTGTTTTAAAGATTATTTAAATTTTGAGAAAGCTGGTATACGCTTTTCAGCTTGCCGAAGTTTCCCTTCTTTTTTGTTTTTTTTTTTTAACAACAAAACAAAATGAAGGGAACAACTTCTGAGAAGCTTGATGTTTTGTTAAGTAAATATTACCCACCTGAGACACTTCTTAAGCAGCTCGGCGAGGAAAACAACCATTGGCTGGAATTTGGTGGCACTGGTATCGACTTGGAACGTGAAACTCTGGGACCACTTCTTCCAGTGCCAGAGAAACCCGAAGTTGCTTATATGGTGCGACAGCCAGTTGACCAGCCGATCAAAGCAGGCCACGCTCATTGAATCCAGTCTGGCGAAGAGGATATCCGCCGCCTGCTCCACCACTTGGGGTATCTTGTCCGGCTGGCGCTTGCACAGCTCCACCAGAATAGATCCATAGTTGAGAGTGATCCACTGGGAACTGGGCAACTGCAGCATCTCACCCAGGATCACCTCCACGATGCTGTGATGAACGGACAACTGGGGCTTTGAGGCGGCATAGGACAGGAGGCTATCGGCACAAACCCTCCTTTCCAGATGATGGCAGTGGAGCATGTCCAGTATCTGGACCTCCAACAAATGCCGCTCGATCCGCAGCGGAGAGGGCAATTGAAGGTCATCGCGCTCGTAGGAGAAGATGCGAAAGGACACACGTGTCGGAGGATAGCTGCATCCCTGCTCGTGGGGCGGCACTTCGAAGTTTGGCAGACAATGGGGCAGGGACTCGCTTAACGTCCTGTCAAAGGCCAGATACGGACGGGGGATCAACTGGTGCTCAGGTTCCGCCCACTGCTGCTGCTGCATTGTGTCCACCTGCTGCCACAGCAACTCCAATTTGTCCTCCTGCTCAGAGTTAGGCCAAACACTCAGCATGGTGGCGTGCAGCGCGCAACGCTTCTTGATGTAAATCTGCAGCGTGATCATTAGACGCTCAAATCCCGCCTTTAGCTGCAGGTCCTTGCCCACGAAGGGTAGGGCGGAAAGCACGCAGAAGGCCAACCAATCGCGACGAGTCTGGGGTCCGGAGTCTGCTTCATCGTCTGGATCGCTCTGGTTCTCACACTCGCTCACGAAACCCGCGAGGAAGTTCAGCAAGGAGGACGAGCTGACGACTTTGCAGTTGTACAGATTCACAAGGAAGTGAACTATTGCCTGGCACTTGGACCACTCGCGACTGCACAAGAACTCGTACAGCTTCTGCACCATAAAGACCATGCACTCGGCGCCGAACTCCGAGCACCCTACATTTAGCAGGCCCACGAACGTTGCGTAGGCACTGGTGTGCCCGGGATGCTCGCCCACGCAGGATACCAGGAGGCACAGGATTTCCTCTTTGAGATTTGCACGAACGTCGCGCAGCAAGTACGAAAGGTTTTCGAGCTTAAGCTCGATGGAACTGCTGCCCTGAAAACTCAGACCTCGCATCAACTTCTCCACAGTCGCCAGCTTTACCTCGGCAATTCTTTTCCGGTGGAAGTCCTCCACGTCCTCGTCAGTCGAATGACCACGCTTGCGACGACCGTAGTCCATTTTATCCACTCTGAAAATTGGTGATTTTAATAAAACCGAAGAAAAATAACTTATTAATAATATATACCACCGTTGGGAGGTCAAGTTAAAAAAAAAGGTGCTTGAAATTTGTTCGGAAACACAACAGTTTTTCACAACTCTACCACTTATCTCACTGCCAAAAAAGTTTTGTATTATTAAATTATTCCACGTTTTTTTTAAAAACCTTGTCCACAGCAAAGATTAACAAAGAAATTAACAAAGACTTCCAGATTGTTCGACCGATTTGTTCTTTAGTCTTGACTTGACTGAAAATCTGTATGCACAAATTAAATGATGTCAAGTTGACAATTATACGCCTACTTGAGTTGTGATTTTTTTACTTAGTCTTTTGGGGTGCCTCCTATCAAAAGTGTAAAACAAGAAAGTAGTTAAAAAGTTAATATACAGTGGCGGAAAAGTTTTTATTGTATATAAACTGCGTATAATCATAATTTTAATGTTTTTAAAAGTATTTAATTCTTGCAATAGCTGCAAGGGTATATGAACTTCGGCTTGCCGAAGTTTGCTTTCTTTCTTGTTTATTTTTTTGTTTAGTTCTTCGACATTTAGTAATTGTTAAATATTTCCGAATTACGGTTTAAATTTCATCAAAATCGGACGACTATATCATAGGAACAATCGGAAAAAAAATACAACAAAAATTATAACTATGCCGTTTTTTAATTTTTCTATTAGTTTTTGGACATATTGTAATGGTTAAGTATTTCAGAATTATGGTTTAAATTTTATCAAAATCGGACGACTATATCATATAGCTGCCATACGAATAATAAAAATATATAAAAGAACTATCAAATAATTAAGCTGCAAATCGTCATAGCTTCAATGTTTTTAAACATATACGCAAGTAAATCATAATTTTAATGTTTTCAAAAATGTTTAATTCTTGCGATAGCTGCAAGGGTATATGAACTTCGGCTTGCCGAAGTTTGCTTTCTTTCTTGTTTAAATTCAAATACACATATCCTCAGTTTAATTATAGAAATTCGCCTTTGATTTTAGAAAATCGCCTACAATTTGGATTTATAGGCGATTTTGCCCATAAAACATAATGCAAAATTTGTTTAAAACATGGAAATAATTTTCTATTTTTTAGCGTGCTTGTACCTTTTTTAAAAAATGTTTTTATACCCTTGCAGAGGGTATTATAATTTCAGTCAGAAGTTTGCAACGCAGTGAAGGATACGTTTTCGACCCTATAAAGTGTATATATTCTTAATCAGCATCACTAGAGAGAGAGTTGATCTAGCCATGTCCGTCTGTCCGTCCGTCTGTCCGTCCGTTTCTACGCAAACTAGTCTCTCAGTTGTAAAGCTATCTGCAAGAAACTTTCCCAAAAATTGTCTTCCTATTGCAGGTAGTATATAAGTCGGATCGAGCCGGATCGGACGACTATAGCATATAACTCACATAGGAACAATCGAAAAAATAAATAAAAAAAATTATAACTTTGGTGTTTTTTAATTTATTTTTTTAGTTCTTCGACATAAAGTAAAAGTTAAATATTTCAGAATCACGGTTTAAATTTCATCAAAATCGGACGACTATATCATATAGCTCCCATAGGAACAATCGGAAAAAAATACAAACAAAATTATATCTTTGCTGTTTTATAATTTTTTTTTAGTTCTTCGACATATAGTAATGATTAAATATTTCCAATTTACGGTTTAAATTTCATCAAAATCGGACGACTATATCATATAGCTCCCATAGAAATAAAAAAAATATATAAAATAACTATCTAATAATTGAGCTGCAAATCATCATAGCTTCAAGTTTTTAAACATATACGCAAGCAAATCATAATTTTAATGTTTTAAAAAATATTTAATTTTTGCAATAGCTGCAAGGGTATATGAACTTCGGCTTGCCGAAGTTTGCTTTCTTTCTTGTATTAAAAAAGGAACGCAAAATAATGTATGGATATCAGTGCTCTACATGTTGTTAGTTTGAAGTCAAAAACTTGCCCTCATACTTAGGAATTGGCTTTTAAGTGCAGAAGAACTTGTCGTTTTTATTATTTTTTCCCCGACTGTATGCTTGACAAACAAAAAGAATATACTCGAGTGCCCCGACTATTGTTTATCTGTTACTCAGCTAACCAATTATAAAAAAAATAAGTCACAATAAATTTATGCTAATAAAAGTTCGTTTTGGAAAATCTATGCGTTTTTATATCGAAAATATTGACCCCTACCACGACTCATAGCGACATGATAGACTTTCGTGATTTGTGGGCGTTAGAGTGGGGGCACATTTAAAAAAAACTTGCGCTGCAAAGGCCTGCATGTTATATCTCAATTCTCTGGACCTTATAATTTCCGAGAGCTTGAAATTCAAACAGACAGACAGACGGATAGACCATGTGAGACGCACATGGCTAGATCGACTAGCCTAATCAAGAAAATTTATGCTTTATGGTCGGAAACGCTTCTTCTTTTCAACGAACACAATAATAAACTCTTCGGGTTTGAAAGGTGTCATTTTATCAAGGATTATATAAAATTTATAGATTATCCACTTCTCAAGTTATATCCGTATATAATGATAACAACAGGGCCATATCGATTTTAAAAAATGTTTCGTTCCAAGGCTCAGAATAGTGATGTCTTACCAACCTGTCTAATTTGTGCTAATTTTATTGACGAACACCTATTTATAATAGATGTATTTGACATTTAAAAGGGAGGCGACATTGGGGTCATATCTCGAGGTCAACAAACTACTGAAAAAGCCATCATATCTCCATTACAGTTCAATGAGCACTTGAGCTGACTCGTCTTGAGTGGCTGCACCCTTTCCCAGGCGTAGATATCTCTTCATTACGGCGCAATTATGTTGCGTAATTTGCCGGCCACTTCAGTTGTATGGATATAGCTGTGCATGGCCCCTCGATTCCGACATTAGCAAGTGGCCGCTTTCACTGGAAATCAATTCAATTAAGACATAATTTAATTCTCACAGGGATTACAGGCACCACCTCATCCTGGGGCGTCCGCACACAATACTCAGATTAATTCCACACGAACAACTCCGAAGAGCGACTGATGATTAGCACACGGCGAGGGAGCCGCCACCTCAATCCAGTTCAGCACCCAGTCATCAACATCATGTCAAGCGACTGCATTAGAGAAGACCCGAGGTGGGACCACCCATATTGACGTCGTGCTTTTATTGCTCAGAAAGTAACATAAACAAATTGCGCTTCTAACTGCGGCGGGCGTAGAACATTCACATCCAGAAAGCCAACGCTACCACACACCTGATGGCCCTGATGGATGGATTTAGATGGATCATCAGCATCCCCCTGCATTGAAATACACAGAAAAAGACGGGAAACGCATGGAAATAGTATGTTCAAATTCATTTACACCAGATTTGGAGGAAAAACAGAAATAGATATGCAATTGAATCCTTCAATGGATTTTGAAAATTAACTTATTTTTATTTCGATTTCATAAAAACACAACAACAATAAACTCATATTTACTATGTAACAATTGCCCATAAATTAATTGAATTAAAAGAAAACAAAAAAATACATATTTGTACACATCCACGAATATAATTGGCATTATTAACCAAATATTGTAAAAAAATATTAAAAACAAGAAAGGAATCAAACTTCGTCAAGCCGAAGTTCATATACCCTTGCAGCTTTTTTAAAAATTAAATGTTCTTAAAAACATTAAAATTATGATTTACTTGCGTATATGTTTAAAAGCATTGAAGCTATGATGATTTGCAGTTTTATATCGTATTCCGAATTTAAAAGAATTAAAAAATTAATAAGTGAAAAAATCTCAAAATATTAATAAGTGAAAAAGAATTTTTAAAAAAAATGACAAACTAGAAAAGTTACATTTCAAAAATTTTTTTTTATATTTTTATTGTTTTTTTTTTGGTAGCTATATGATATAGCGATTTTGATGCAATTTAAACCGTAATTCTGAAATATTTAATTTTTACTATATCGAAGAACTTAAAAAAAAAATTAAAAACATCAAGGTTGTAATTTTTTTTTCGATTGTTCCAATGGGAGCTAAATGCTATAGTCGTCCGATCGGTCTCGTTCCGACTTATGTACCACCTGCAATAGAAAGACAACTTTTGGGTTTCATGCAGAATTAACAAGGCAGAATTTCTAGTTTTTGTAAATAATTTGAGCAGATATTTTAAAAAATTGGTTCAGAATCGGTGACCGTAAACATGTTGCACAGTGTACTTCATGCAAGTTAGACAAATTTTATTATTTAATGTTGATCAATTTTTTTCTTTCTTCTTTTGTTTGTTGTTTCAGTATGTTTTGCTTATTTGGAGTACGGTTTGTGAATACTTGCGCCGGTTGTGTGGTGAGCAACCGCCTACTTTCTTGCCTTGTCTATTGTCTTTCCCAAATTTGTTTTCAAACAATCGTCAACCCATGTCCCGGGATGGCAATCTAAATAAGCCACTTGGTGCAGGACCACCGCAAACAGCTGTCTAGACTGATTTCAAGTGGAAATCCCAATTAGCCACCTTGACCGAGACCCGTAACCGGCCACTTGAGTAGCCAAAAGATCTGGACAAAGAACATATATAAACACATATTTCACAGTCCTGCCGACATCCTCGGGTCTGTCCTGTCTGGCCGGGAGCGGCGACAATGCGTGATTTGTAAACAATGCCACACGCATGATAACACGATCATAAAGCCGATACATACCCATATAGAGAAACTGAGTGGCGACCCCGACGGCTTCAAAATGTGTATTAGCGTCGGCACAGCTATACAGGTCGGACTGATGAACCAAAAGCGTTTATGAAAAATTTAAGTCAAAATATTTATCAAACAAAAACACCTCTTAGCGAGGTTAAAAAGTCATGACTATCGCACGTTCAACATACAAAAAAACTAATATAAAATATATTGACTTAAAATGAATAAGCATTCGAATAAAAAATACACTTTTTAAATGTTTCCATTCGTACCGCTTCACCGAGGTATTTTGCCTACACAGGCGTTTTTTAACTCAGCGTGCCGAATAATAACTCTCGATTTCGATTTTTTGGAAACATATGTTATATATCAAATGTTAATAAATCTTAAGGGTTATATACGCACAAAGTCAAACTAAAATCGTTACTGCTGTTTTTAATAATTGCAAAAATAGTAAAAAAAAAATTTTATATATATTAAATTATATTTTAACTATTTTATTTAGAGCAGCGTGGTTAGCATAGTGACATAAATCACTTATCTGTATCGTTACCATTACCTTTTTTATCTTAAATTTGAATATTTTACAAAACCGGTCCCAAGAGCTCCAATCAAAAATATTTAGTACCGAAACAAATAAATCTTGGTATGCAATCCCTTTACTTTTAGCGATACCTTTCGGACAAACAGAGCAGATTTTTAATTCTGAGCCAATATATTGTAGTCTCCTTTGCATACGCTCGTGGTGCGCATCGTCACTTCATGTACTGCTGTCTAATCAAAGTTGGTCTACATACAATAATTTTAAAATAGCACAACAACAATTTTTAATTTTTTTCTTTGACATTTTCTGGACAAATTATTCGACAACGGCCCATTTCCTTCTTACTTTATAAGTGGGCCTTAAGATCCTCAACTTTTGTTATCAAAAACATGTATATAAGGGAAGATAAACAAAAATAACCTCTTCATGAGGTAAAAAATATAAATTTTCGTGACGAAAGTTAGTTAAGGACGCTCTTCTGAACCGATTCCTCTAAAGTTTGGTAGATATCTTGTTTATACTACTCTCCATCGCGTCTACCTCGGGATTGAAAAATGTTTGTTGATAAGTATTTTTTATATATTCGAAAAGGTAGAAAAAAATTGATTAAAAACATTTATTGTTTTCAATTTGACGCCGTTTTGTTATTTTTAACTGTTAACGACGTCTTTACTAATGAAGAATTTGCTGATTTTTTTTCCGTTCTGTACAACGGCAGATGTCATGTCCACCTGGACGCAGTGATTTTTTTGAAGCCACAAGCCTGTATATCGGAATATTGTGTTTGTTTTTTATTTTATTTTTTGTATTCTTAAAGTGTTAATAAAAACCATATATCATGATGGAGTCGCCCCATATGAATTTAGTATAGCTCTCTTAGCTGAATGCCATCTTAAATCAGGCTATGTAGCGTCATTACCAGTCAATACCCTCGGGGCGGGGAAATCCTTTGAGCTATGATTTAATATTTAATATTAGAAGAATCGAAAAACAATAAACAAAAATTATGCCTGCTGAAATTAAATTAAATATTTTTTCTGAATTACGGTTAAACATTTTTTATTTTATTAATATCGGACAACGATATCATTTAGCTACCCTATGAGCGATTCTCAGTTAGAGTTCTATTTACTTAGTTTGAGTTAAATTTTCAAGAAGCAAATTAATTAAATCGAGTACATAAGTTGTGATGATTCATACTTTTCAGCGGATATTTATACCCAGCAACGTTAGTTGCTTTGAACTGAGAACAGCTATTGCATAATGATGACTGCTTTTCTTCTGGTTGTTTTTACTTGTATAATTTTATTTTCAACATTCCCTTATACGTTGTATGGATCCGTTTATTGAAATGGAATTAAGAGCACGACATTGTTATAGAATTGGTAAAATTCAAAAGTAGCAACCATAATTTACACTCTAAAAAGTACCCGCATAAAATCGAAAATAATTGTATTGCCCCAACTCGAAAATATATATATCTGCACTGGGAATCGTACAAATCCAGATACAGATGCAATAAGGCATGATGCGCACTACTAAGCTCTTAAGTACAAAAAATTCACTTTAGCCAAATGTGTGCTTTTCAATTCAATATCTGTTTCGATTTCCATATTCGAAATAGCTCATTTTTCAATTACCACTGGGTCTTCCAAAGACAAGTACGCGTATTATTAATGTAATAGTGGCTAATTGCGCATTTGCTGCGTAAGCAAATTAGAACGCAAGCGAATCACTTCAGGCATCGGCTCAAAAGCTTTGATTTTGATGGAACACTTGGGTGTCGGCAGCGGAATTTAGGGCCGCATTTTACTGTTGGGTTCATTGCATTGATTTGCCAGCAATATGGCATTATCCAAAGATTAGACAATTTGCAATACCTTCATCCACTTGAGCCCCTCCGGCATTGACTGAACAAGGTTTATGGCCAAATCGCAGCAACCACCCGCCAAATGCCAAATTTACCGCAGAAGTCGTTGCATTTATTTGGTCTGGCCGAGACAATAAACAAAGTATCACTGCTGGCATGCAGCAACAAATAGAGGCAATCTAAATAAGAGTACGAATACGACCAACAGAATAATAAAAACACATTGGCAAAATAGAAAAAAGTAAACAATAATAAGTCCGCAACGAATGACTGCCAATTTGAATGATCGAACGGGACTATTCTAAGACTATTCTATAATTCTATTTCAAACATAAAATTTAATTGCCAATTTTTGGCGCGTTGAGTTTTATGGATATTTAACCATTTATATGTATGTTTGGGCGAGTTTACAAAAAGCTGGAAGACTGAAAAAGACTGAAAGATTGGAATAGGTATGATTTCATGGGCAGCAATCACAACATCAATGAGTTCGTTTAGTGGAAGCCGGGAAACTAATATTTAATTTACTCAAATGTCTATAATTTATTTACTATTTCCCATCGTTTAATTTTATCGCTTTGGGAAGTAGAACATAAGACCGGAAAGGAAAGTTTTAAATAAAAATAAATTGATAAAAATTAGATTAAGTTTTACACCCAGACCTTCTGTTCTGCTTTCAGTCAGAAGCTTTCAGTCAGAAGCTTTCAGAAGTTTTCCCGCTTTGACCACATCCATGTCCTATGTGAGAGTAATAAAGAACTTTAACACTTGTTATTT